CCTCTTTTTTGGTGTCTCCGCCCTCCTGAAATCTTTCACGCGCACGTTCTTTGTTCAGGAATCTCAGCCAAGTTCAAAGAACATCTTCCGATTTGACTGCCCGGAGTTCTTTGTTTCCTGAATATTTCTGGAAAATTGTAGCGTTGACGTCGATCTCGTCGGTCGCGGTAATTGCCACCAGCACAAAGACGAGACGGCAATGTGGTTCCTTTCATACTCGTATAACAAATATTCACTTTTAAAATATCACAAAATTAAAAAATACCTGGCAAATGACAAGGTCATGGTTAGGATGACCTTCCCATTCAGTATATTTTATGGAAATATTTGTGAATAAATTTCTTAAGGGCTTAAAAATTCAGTTAAATACCTCTATATTAATTACAAGTTAAAAGTTAGATGTATATATTGCTAAAATTACATGTCGACTCAAAGCTCTGGCTATATGTGCATTCATATTCAAATTATGGTATTGAATATGGGATAATTATAATAATCACGTTACCATCAAATTATTTTTGGTTTGTTTTCAGACGATGAGGTCCTCCATCAATTTTGATAACAAAATTTCAAGCTGAACTCATGCCAGATGAATTTGCGTTGATCTGAAGTGCCCGACAAGTTCCCTCTTTTTCTTATACGTTGAGCTAGTATTTTTATTGAATTCTAGGTACATCGGGAACAAATTTTATTATTGGTAATCAAATGTTTCCGAATTCGTGATACCAAATATTTAAATTGATGCACACAAGCGTTAGTTCAAGGTAAAGTACCATAATCGACAATGTTATTAACATTTTATTTGTTTGATTTATTTTTAATGGTTACGCTTGAAATTATTTGTTCAATGAACTATATCCCGCGCAGAAAAATTCTTTAATATTGTCACTAAAAGCAATTAATAAAATTTAGTAGTATGGCTAATGAATGAATAAAAGTTAAATTAATTGCATAGTGCTTAAAATTTAGAGAAGCAGAAATACCTGAATAAATTGTGCTACAGGTTAAGAAAGTGTAAAGGGGCGATCAATATTGAATATATATTTTATTTAAAAAATTGCATAATTGCGCCACAAAGCTGGTCTACACAGGAGAGAAAATGATGCAGTTTAGTAAAATTCGTTACCAACTTCAATGTCTTAAGTTATACTCTCTGAGAAATTGTTAGTTGTTATCGTACATGAAGAGAAAGATAGTAAATACTTAGTGTGTATTACTGTTCTTTTTCAACAGAAAAAGTTGCGGCTCCAATGACAAGCTTTAAGCTGAATCTGAAATAAAATATTCATTAGAGGTGGGTAAATGTTATCGTTGTCGTAGTCACTAATAAATGTTATCGTTCACGTAGTCTCGAATAAATATTATCGTTCTCGTAGTCTCGAATAAATGTTATCGTTCTCATAGTCTCGGATAAATGTAATCGTTCTCGTGGTCTCGAGTAAATGTTTTCGTTCTCGTAGTCTCGGATAAATGTTATCGTTCTCGTAGTATCAGATAAATGTTTTTGTTCTCGAAGTCTGGACTAAATGTTATCATTCTCGTAGTCCCGAATAAATGTTATCGTTCTCGTAGTCTCGGATAAATGTTATCGTTCTCGTAGTCTCGGATAAATGTTGTCGGTCTCGTAGTCTCGGATAAATGTCGTCGGTCTCGTAGTCTCGGTTAAGTGGTATCGTTCTCGTAGTCTCGGATAAAGGTTGTCGGTCTCGTAGTCTCGGATAAATGTTGTCAGTCTCGTAGTTTGATGTGGCCATGATGACGTCACTGTCAATGTTACTGCGGTCAAGTCAGACTGTCAGCAATTAAAATACGACGAACCTCGACAGAAAACAATAAATAATAAGTAACTAAGAAAAAAAAAAACAAATATGGCATCTGGAAGATAATTCTCCAAAATATTGACGTTTATCCTTTTTTTAAATAGTAAATATGAAGTACCAGAAAACAAGAGAAAAAAATCGACCTCAAAAAACCACTCCTAAAATCGACCAACTCTCTGTTCCAAAAATCTAGTCACAAATTGGTTATGAGGTCGCCACGATACAGCGTGGCAGCTCTTCAATTTTATTTCCTGTTAACATATTTAAATGAGGAACTTTCCATCTTTATTTGAGTCGCACGGCGCATATTTTCTGTATATCTCAGACGCAATAAAAAATTGTTAACCATTATTAAATAATTTTTAGAGAGGTGTGAAAAATGAAGTGGTGCACTTCATTCGACCTAGGTTATAATAACCAAGATACAGAGGTGGGCAGTAGCGCGCTACATGTAGCGGTAGCGGTAGCTGCGCTACAATTCAGCAATTGTAGCTGTAGCGGTAGCGCCCGCTACATATTTAAGTAGCGATACGAGGTTTTGCCACAACAGCGCTACCGCTACATTTATAGATAAAGCCTATAGCTTTTACTTAATAGTATTAAATATCATTAAAAACCAGCATGATACATACATAATATGAATTACAGAATAAAACTGTACGAAAGATTTCGGTGTATAATGTTGCCAACCTCAGCCTGTTACTAATGTCAACATGTTAGTTGTTACTTGTTAAGTTGTTACCAGTTACCACATACAGGTATTTTTTCATGTTTCAGTTTGCTTACAGGTATTTTACCACGTTTTTCTTGACTTCGTATCGTGTCCGTCTGTCATCAAAAATTCAAACTTTAATTTAAAGCACTTCTAAACATCCTAGTAAGTTTAAATTTGGCATGCATGCTTATGCTGCCTAACAATTCAAGTTTTGATCATCAGAAATGATAATTAGAAAATAAAAAAAAATTAAAAATAAAAAAAACACTAAAAATTCACGGTTTGGAATTGAGCTTTTTCTCGAACATCCACACTTGCCAACCCTGTAAATTGATTTGAATTGCTAAAATTGCTAACTAAAGAGTAGAAAATAAATATATAAAAAAATATTTTAAAAAATACACGTTTTTCTGTTTTTTACAAAACTGAAAATAGTGAAATAAAACAAATGAAAAAAACTTTTAAAAACCACGTTTTCTTAACGGACAAAAAAGAAAAACATTTACTCTTACGTAACATTACATAACATTTTACATAACTTAAATGCTATGTAAGAGTAAATGTTTTTCTTTTTTGTCCGTTAAGAAAACGTGGTTTTTAAAAGTTTTTTCATTTGTTTTATTTATGTTTCACCTTCCCTACATGGATATCTACCAATCTCAAAAATGATCCATATACATATATACAAATAAATGACTGACTTTTTATATGCGTATATGTGGATAATTTTTGAGATTGGTAGATTAAAGTAGACATCCATGTGGGGAACGTAAAGCATAAAAATAACTAACTTATATTTACTGTATCTAACCCGTACTACTTCGGTTAGGTTAATTGCAACAGAGTTGCATTGATATGTTTTGAAAATGTTTTATTATCATTAAATGTTTATGAGTAAATCCCAATAGACGAAAAATAAATATTTGGAGATTTCCAATAATTTTGGCCATTGTAGCGGCGCTACATTTTTACATTTACTGTAGCGGGGTAGCGCCCGCTACATTTAGAGCATGTAGCGGTAGCGGCGCTACATTTCGAAGTAGCGCTGCCCAGCTCTGCCAAGATATGATATGTACAGTAGAGTGTTTAAATTATTTTTCGGTGAAAATATATGGACCTAATTCGATTTTTTTTGTGCGCTACAAGAACTAATTATAAGCCTAGCGAGGTTGATATCAGAAATACATCATTAATTATATCAATACCCGTTGCTTACAATTAGTATAAATACCTAAGTATATATAAAGTATATTAAAAAGGACCATAGAAGTCCAAATTCGCATATTATTACAGGCACCAGACGATAACCAGAAAAATAAAGGAAAGCCAAAGTAGTAGCCAGAAAAAAACAATGCCCATGTCGATTTTCCTTTTATTCCTTCATTTATTACAGTCTATATTACCATTGCCCATATAAATTTTTGTTTAGATAAAAATGCTGAGAGCAATAAAACGATGAGCTCAAAATTCGTAAACAAAACTATTAAAAAATCCTAATTCCTAATTAATACGAAATAATATTACTTTGTATCACTATTAACTATATTTGATACTGTTAGGTTCTTGAATTAGACGTCGGCAACGCCTGCGACCGATCTGAGTTCTTCTTTATCTGCATTGCGTTCATCAACTTTTTGACGCTGTTATTCCTGATACTTTCAATATAATACAACCTTTTCATAATATTATACAAATTCGAAATTAATTAATTGCGTATCATTTCCAATCCCATGACAAAATCGATTTAAGGCTAATTATTTTTATGTTAAAATTTTCTGTCTGTGCATAAATTATATTATTTTCATTCAAAATTATATTTTCAGCTTCCATTTGTTGCTAGCTAATTAATTAGGAACAGAAGGTCATTAGTTGTATACAGTATGAAAACAGGTATTCTTCACCTAATTAATTTCAATGATGCATTACCTAACTGCGACCTTACGGATTATGTTCATTGAAGATATTCGTGTTTTATTCCGGCGGTTTTGGAAGTTCCTTCAGTGAGTCTGACGGTAGTCCGGGAAGGAAAATGCAGAGCTGTTGTCCTATGAAAACATTTGCTTTCGGACGAAATTTTTATGAAGTTTGCTTCCTCGGGATTGAGTTTTTGACTAGCCGAAACCTACCTTACGTGAAGCTCGATGAATTAAATTTTTTGTTAATGAATATTTAAATTACTTGTTATTAAATTCTTTGTGCATGTGTAGCTATATGCCATCAAAATGAACTATCATAAATATGCACGTTACACTAACTGAAAAGGAGTCTCTTTCAACGCTACAATTTTCCAGTAATATGCAGGAAAACAAAGAACTACGGGCAGTCAAATCGGAAGATGTCCTTTGAACTTGGCTGAAAGATTTCAGGAGGGCGGAGACACCAAAAAAAAAGAGGCTGCATCATAGGCCTACCTACACATATATAAGCCACATCAACCTGCCTACAACATGCACATAATAAAGACGTGAGCATCAAGTTAGACGTGAGAAGTGCTGAGAAGATAAAGGAAACTTCAAAAATGATTAAGGTGAGTATTAGTTAGAGATTTTGAACTTAGAATTGGGAGAATTTTTCAAATTGTTAAACTGTATTACAATTAGTGAAATTTACGAATCTATAATTTCTTATCAGGCAGAGAACAATTTTCAATTGAAGTGAGACACTATTGAAATATGTGATTTTTCTGTTGCTAAAAATTTGCAGTTTAGCAAAAATGTTTGATAAATATGACTCCAGTACTCAAAGGAAGGAAGAAGTCATCTGCTGAATATGAACTCAGAATATGACTCAGAGAACTCAGAATATGACAGAGAAAGAACTCGGAAAGAATATGACAGAGAACTCAGAAAGACAGAGAACTCAGAATATGACAGAGAACTCAGAAAGACAGAGAACTCAGAATATGACAGAGAACTCAGAAAGAACTCAGAATATGACTCAAGAATATAGCTATTAACTAATTAAGGTTCATGCAGGTCACAATGAACTCATTCTCTGCATAATATTTGCCACGTATTTATTGTCAACAATAATGCCGTGTTGATGCATTGTTTTGGTACGTGTTATGGTTGAAAACAGGTGACCTAAATTAAGGATGGAGGTAGAGAAGCATGTAAATTTTCAACAATTACATATTAAAGATTATATATTAAAAAATTTCAATGCCATGGACTTGAGAAGTTTGTTTATTATACTAACGACAAAAGAGAGCAAGGTGATATAGAAATAAAATAAATTTATGCTCAGCGGTCAACAATTTCTGCTCAAACCAAAACCTTGAATGTAAATGCACATTCCATTTTGCATAATCCGAGCTGTTTCGTTCAATGCTGATATTTTGCTCTCAAGATACACCAGATAACACCTGTTACGGTTTTTCTTAAATAAAACAAACATAGAAAATATACTCAATACCTTGTTTTACACAGCCTAAAATTCTTTTCTTTATATGCCAACACTGGTTACAGGAATACGATTAATATTCTGACCATGTCAGAAGTACTTGTCTTTGATTTCTGAACATTACAATATTCCTGTATAATTTTGCAATCAGACGGCAGAATTGTGCACTCCCTCGTTTGCAAGAATTGCAAGAAATTTAAGATAATTTTTGCCTAATTTTCATTTTGTTTTACTTGATCTTCGGAAAATTATTCCAATGATAAATTTCCCCACACGCTGAGAATTTTGCATAAAAAATTTGAACGACAAAGGACAGCTGAAGCTACCCTCAGTATTGTGATCAGCTGTTCCGTATGTTGCAGGTACGATTCGTGATGGTGGCTCTGATGCTGGCTCTCCTGGTGCTACCGCGTAGCGATGCCTTTTCCCTCGATATGCTCACGATAGGCGCGCTCAATGGGGGAATTGGCCTCCAAAGACTAACTCGTGGCAGACTCGGCGCGAGTAATTCCATCTTCCGAGTGCCTATGTTCCCTTCAGTCATCCACTCTCCCCAGGTGATGGATCCTGCTGATGTAGTGGAGCCACCCAGAAACTCAATATTTATGGAAAGACTTGTTGGTTCTAAGAGAAAATAAATTTAATGTTATGCAAATTGTTTTTGGCATCGTATTATTGATCCTTCTTCCGATCTTGAACACTAAAAACGCGAGGAACACTTCTTGCTCGCGCGAAAATAATAACGAAGTAAGATTGAAAAGTGGATGAGCAACTTGAAACGTAAATCAATATCAATAAACATAGAAAATCGATTAACTATACTGCTGGATCTTTTTTACTTTTTGATCGCTAACAAAGCTTTTTTGTTATTGCAGGAAAGCCGACACTTATGTTCGTTGTTAGCATTTTATTAATTTTTTACTTTTAGTTCAAGAAAATTATTCGGTGAATTCTCTTATTTTCGGAATACGTCTGCTGCAACAGACTGGAAAATTGCAGACTTTACCCTAATACGAGGAATCGTTCCCTAAATTCCACCCAAATAAGCTAATTTGAGTAAAATGAGATTTCACGTCATTAAGCGATATCTCAGGTTTATATTTTCTCAGTTTTTCAGTTGCTCCGTCAGCCAGTTTTTTTATTGAAACTGAAGACTGCGAGCTGCATTTCGTACTAGTGAAAACCTTTTAAAATCTCTGTCATAGCATCAAGGTTGTGCTGCTACGTACGAAAAGATAATTTGACGTTTAGTACTGTTGATGGGCTTCGTAAATTTGTGACACGCGCACGTAAACTCAATTCACGCACGTGACATAGAATTCAAGTTATTCATGATTTCATTCTCATTTCACGCACCGTCATTAATAAAGCTTCAGTGTAATAGAAGAAAGCACAGAGTTTTCACACATATTTCATCACTCGGGTATATTGAGTTGGGTTGTGCAGTGTTGTATGTTCTCATCAGCTCGTGTCTAAAAGTTGAATGACTAAAGCTTGGAATGTTCATGACTCATAGTCCGGAAATCTATAACCGAATTGGAATTAATTCCTATCTCAGAAATAGGATTATAGATTTTAATTGGTACTATTCGCTAATAGTACAGGAGTCTTGAATCTTCAGCAATAATTGGAATATGCAATTTAGTTCAAGGAATAACTTCACTTTGAATTTGATAAAGTGTCAGATATTGTTTTTCTCGGCCAGAAAGCCAGTTTGTTTCACGGAAATACTGAGTTGAGCTGCAAATCCCGTTGGTTGCCCGTAGACGCCTAAGAAAAGACGTAGGAATCAAGTGAATGTGGTCGCAGAAACTTCTGAACGTCTTATTTATTTAAACGATATTATTATCTTATAAGTGAGTTGAGTTATGTTTGAGACAGCTCATATTACCTACTTTTTTTAATAAATCAAGTATATAGAGTTTCAACAGTTTTTCAAGTTTTCTAAAAACTTCCTTTTCAATTACCGAATATTCGTAGGTAGGGGGAAAGGAAGTTTTTAGAAAACTTGAAAAACTGTTGAAACTCTATATAAAAATAAAGTCCGATTTATTATTTCTGAATAAATCAAGTAATTGTTCTAATTAAGATGATTCGGTAACCAGGAATTTCAACCAAATATTTTAACACACTTCTTCCGGGTACATAAATACTATAGGAATCATAAGCGAATATTGGACCACCGCTCTAATATTCGCGGGGCTATCGACACCTGCTCTGAGAGCGGCGCTTGGCCGTCCAATTTTGCGGATTTTTTTTTTTCAGCGACGCAACGCCCAATTTAAGAGCTACTTGCCTCCGTTTTTGAAATGGCAAGAAAATACGATCTGAGGATCGCTCAATGAGGCTCACGAAACGCAGTTCCCTTTCAAATTAAACTCGAAACTTTTGCGTAGAGAGAAAGTTATGCACCGGTCAGACCCTTGATAAATTATTTTTCTAAATGACTTTTATATTGCCAGTTTAGGAATAGTTTCCTTCTCTATCCACTTGAACAAAAGCTTGTACTGGGCAACGCTAATTAACGTTTAATTATATTTCGTCAGCGTAGGGAAATAAACAACTAAGGTGTACACGAATCAGATAAATATGAGAAGCTCTTTATAAATCTCATTGATTTTTAATGAGATTAAGTTTTCTTTGTGTCTATGGTAATAGAAGCTGGTCGATTAGGTCGACAATCAGAATGTTAATAAAATGTTGCTACTATTCTGATATGCTGTAGTGAGAAACATATAGGACATCAAGTTCAAAAACATTTTTATGAGATAATTTACTCCTGACTAACTATGAGTTCAGTCTGCCACTCATTCATAACTTAGTAATGGAGTTGACGTTAATTTTGCTCAAATAAAGACAATAAAATTTTATTTTCAGTTTGGGAGAAAATAATTACAGGCAGAATATTCATATTAATATTTCAATGGGCGAATTCTGTGCTAGCTATGTCCAGTTGTCTCTCGTTTTTTATCTTCTGATGGGTTGCAATGACTTTATTTACTACGGAAGAAATTTCAAGGCAAATTCATGTCTTAATTAAATGTTATTTTTGAATTATCCTTTGTCAAATTCTTAGTTCTAGCATCTGTAGTTATTGAACTAGTGTGTGAACTTTGCGCTGTTCATGATAAATAGTAATTGAAATAGAATGATCCTTTCAATACATACAAGCTTATTATCGTCACCGAGCAAAGAAAATTCAACATTAATTTTGAAACTTGAGCCATCTTTCACAAAAATATTTTAGTCCAAGAAGCTCGGTCTACTAAGAACCTCATCTGCGACCGATCAGATTTAAGAAGGATATAAACAGGGAAACAGGACTGATTTTATTATGCGAAAACTTTAATAATTTTGTTTACCTTTTTCGGCTGATCCTCTTAATATCTGTATTAGAGATCAACGTTTAGATCATGCATGATGATACAGAGTGTTATGGCAGCAAGATTTGCTCTGCTGCCGAGAGCAAAACATCACGTGTTTCCCAAGTCCCGAGAACTGCAATACGTGTTATAGCAATTAGGTTCTTTATTTACATTGCAGCCTTGCAATGCCTTGAAAAGTGAAATAAATTTAACAGAAATGTTTTTTTTTTCAGCGACTGCACACGCTTGTAGCCTCGAGTCCTCCCTCATTCGCTGCATCGAAATTTTTTCTGTCGTCGCTCTAGGCATTTGTTTCCAGACTCGAAATTTGAACATCATTCTATTCAAGAAACGCAATCATTTAAATCTCATTTGAAGGGTCTTAGTGATAGAAAACATCAAGTAAGATTACAAGTGCATGCATTAATTAGGATGTTTTCGAAATAAAGTCTGAATGTTTTTGAGGTGTTCAATTTAGCGGTGAGCGCTTATTTGGCTTTGATTGCGTCTCAATTGGTAGCTTGGGAAGCTCTGACTCCTGTTGTTTTTCGAGAGCCTAGGAGTGCTGAATAAAATTGCTAACGTTTTGAAAGAACCAAGAGGTTATAAAATACTGTGTATTTTTAATTGGTCATTTTCAATATTGTTAGAATTTTTAGTACTGTAGTTATGCCTTCTTTTCAGAAACTCTTGATGAAGACAGATGTGTCTGATGCCCAAAATTATCGTCATTGAGAGGCGGCGAGCAGGCTGAGAAGCATCAGAAAATACACGCCAATGACGCATTCAAAAGATGCCTTGATGCCATGATCATTCACTTTTACGTAAGTAAAACTAAGCTAAAGTATCCTCTATTCAAATCACAATTCATCCGTTTTCTCGAGTTAAGTCCCGTGATAGCGAAATTAGGCATAAAGTGTCAAAAAACGTAAAGTCATCTTTAGCTTTTGTTTTCACAGGATTTTTCAAAGCGTCTCAATGATCGAGCTTATAGCAAGTGTCAAATTTATCAATCATTTTTTTTAATATAAAACATTTCACCAACCACCCTTCTTAAATAAAGATAAGTTCAAGTTTCGGAGAAAAGGAACGACCATGGTAAACGTTCAAAAAGTTAAGGAGATAATAACAATTCAATTAGTATTTAATTGATTTTCCATGTTCATTGATGTTGCCTAAGATTTCGAGTCGCTTTTCCAAGTTCAAAGTTATCCATTATTTTCACTCGAGTAATAAGTGCTTCCTTTGTTTTAAATTTCCACACTTGAGCGAAGGATCAATAATACGATGCCAAAAACCGGTTTGCATAACAATAAATTTATTTTCTCTTAGAATCAACGAGTCTTTCCATAAATATTGAGTTTCTGGGTGGCTCCACTACATCAGCAGGATCCATCACCTGGGGAGAGTGGATGACTGAAGGGAACATAGGCACTCGGAAGATGGAATTACTCGCGCCGAGTCTGCCACGAGTTAGTCTTTGGAGGCCAATTCCCCCATTGAGCGCGCCTATCGTGAGCATATCGAGGGAAAAGGCATCGCTACGCGGTAGCACCAGGAGAGCCAGCATCAGAGCCACCATCACGAATCGTACCTGCAACATACGGAACAGCTGATCACAATACTGAGGGTAGCTTCAGCTGTCCTTTGTCGTTCAAATTTTTTATGCAAAATTCTCAGCGTGTGGGGAAATTTATCATTGGAATAATTTTCCGAAGATCAAGTAAAACAAAATGAAAATTAGGCAAAAATTATCTTAAATTTCTTGCAATTCTTGCAAACGAGGGAGTGCACAATTCTGCCGTCTGATTGCAAAATTATACAGGAATATTGTAATGTTCAGAAATCAAAGACAAGTACTTCTGACATGGTCAGAATATTAATCGTATTCCTGTAACCAGTGTTGGCATATAAAGAAAAGAATTTTAGGCTGTGTAAAACAAGGTATTGAGTATATTTTCTATGTTTGTTTTATTTAAGAAAAACCGTAACAGGTGTTATCTGGTGTATCTTGAGAGCAAAATATCAGCATTGAACGAAACAGCTCGGATTATGCAAAATGGAATGTGCATTTACATTCAAGGTTTTGGTTTGAGCAGAAATTGTTGACCGCTGAGCATAAATTTATTTTATTTCTATATCACCTTGCTCTCTTTTGTCGTTAGTATAATAAACAAACTTCTCAAGTCCATGGCATTGAAATTTTTTAATATATAATCTTTAATATGTAATTGTTGAAAATTTACATGCTTCTCTACCTCCATCCTTAATTTAGGTCACCTGTTTTCAACCATA